TTTTTTTCCAGTATTGAATACTGTAAAAGTAAAGCTTAAATACCAGATGAATTCACACACACACAAAAAGCAGATATAATCCAACATCCTTCATCTTTTTTTATCAGTATTTTTTCAGAACTATACAAGTAAACTAGGACGTCTGAGTGCAAAGTGAATAAATGTCATCAAAGAGAAAAATAGGTTTCCAGTGTGGAAAAGCAATGACTATAGCAGAGATAAAATCCCGAAAGATTCTCGAGGTCATGATGTGGACACTTGGATTTCAGATGTTCAGCTCCCTCCATTTGTCCCTGAAGCCTAAGGGACAATTGGAAAGTGTGGTAACATCTAAACCTGCAGGCTAAATTGAGAAGTGAGTCAGGCAAGGTCAAAAGGATTAAAACAGTTTTAATTCCACCTTTATTTTTTTTTTCGTAGGGCTCCTCAGTAGCACAGAATATGCCGGTTTGCAATCTGAGCATGACAGATGCAGTCACTGCTAAGTAACAGCGCAAGCATTACAGTATTTCTCCTGTCACGTGGCCAAGTTATCCACGTTGTTTATTCCTGGCATAATCCCAGCAGCTGCCCAAACCCCTGGGAAGGATCAGTGAGATGCCGATTTCATTCACAGGAGCCTGCTCTGGCTGGAAACAGTGCAAGTGCACTGCTGGCCCTGACAGAAATAGGCCTGGGATTAACCTTTCTAACGCTCACTTTCAGATTCCCCTTTTCCTTCCTCTGCAGAAGTAGCTTCGGTGTTCCCAGCTGGTGGGAGTCTCGGAGGAGGCACTGATCTCACTGTCACGGGGGACTTCTTTGAGGAGCCAGTGCAGGTCACTGCTGCAGGTAGGAGGAGAAATATGTGGAATGTTTTGGTTTTGGTGGGTTTTTAGGTTTTTTTTTAATATAGTGGTCATGGCCCTGACCACAAAACCCAACTGATGTTGATGGATACCAGTATGGGAGTTGTAGGACTCATCATCAGGAAGGTCCGGTTATTCTGGGCACGAACCATTTTGCTTGCTTGATAGTACAAACCTTTAGTAGAAGCACTTTTAGCACAGCGTTCACCCCTTTTGGAAACAAGACGGGTTCATGCTGCAGCTCAGCTGTGTAGCAAAGTCTCACACAACACATTTGTCTCCTTTTTCCGCTGCCAGGTGTCCCCTGTAGAGTCAAGCACGTCTCTCCGCAGCAAATCAGATGCACCACTGAGCCTGTCGGCAAGAGCAGGAGGCTTGGTGCCCCCCAGCCAGGTACGGTATTCAAAGGTCCAAATGTGCAAACACACATGGAAATGGAGGGCAGAAATCATTTGGTGATGAATTCAGTCAAGAAACAGGGCTTTCCAAAACGCTGTCTGCTTCAACACCAAGCCAGTTTCTCCTAGGTTTCATAGGGAGGAGGGCAACAAGAATGATCAGAGGGGTGGAACCCCTCTCCTATGAGGAAAGGTTGATGAGAGAGCTGGGAGTGTTCAGCTTGGAGAAGAGAAGGCTCCAGGGAGAGCTGATTGCGGCTTTTCAGTGCTTAATGGGGGCTTATAAGAAAGATGGGGACAGTTTTTCATAGGGCATTGTGGTAGGACAAGAGGTAATGGCTTTAAACTAAAAGAGGGGAGATTCAGACTAGTTATAAGGAAGAAATTTTTTATGCTGAGGATGGTGAGGCCCTGGCACAGGTTGCCCAGAGCAGTGGTGGATGCCCCATCCCTGGGAACATCCCAGGTCAGGTTGGTCGGGGCTCTGAACAACCTGATTGAGTTGGAGATCTCCCTGCTTGCTGCAGGGGGGTTGGACTAGATGACCTCTAAAGGTCCCTTCCAACCCAAAGCATTCTGTCATTCTATAGCAAGGAAAGGCAAGGTGGAGAGCTCAGCCCACCGCTTGCAGATGGGCGATGGTGGGAGGAAGGTTGGCCTGGTGTGTAGAGCTGTGGAAAAAGAGGGGGGGGGGGAAAGCATGGATAAAATTTCGAGGAAGGATAGCTGGACTAGAGCTACTGCAGAGGCTTCTGGGGACAGTGCTTGGGTGGAGTGTTGCAGTGGGAAATTATTGTGCATAAAATGAGGCTTAGCTCATTTTGACTGTGGGTCATCTCAGCACCTTTTCCTGCAAGAGTGGACATGTGAGCTTGCTTGGATGCTCTGTGCTCTGCAGATTTTTGTTCTTTCTAGTGGAGGATTTCAAGGTAGAATAAATTCCCTGAAGTGAGATCTCTGTTCTGCCCTGGACTGCAAAAAAGACCCACAAACAGAGCCAATTTATTATTAAAATTTTCTGTTTTGGCCTGCCTCCTTACATCGCTGATTCTAGCATGTGCTCTGGGATTTTTGTTGGCTGCTGCTGAGAACACTTTTATTTTAACTTTCTAGGAAACAGAGGGCTTCTCTTTGAAGTCTGGGATGACGCCTCTGATCTGACAGAAGCAGGTCCTGGATATAGATGGCAGTTTGTACCTAATGCCAGTTCCCCAGTAAGATTTCTGTCTGGGGCAAAGAAGTCCTTCAGGTACTCAGTGATCTTAAAAAGAGATGAAGCCATGGCAATCACCTTTAGCAGTGTAAGGTGTAGCGATAACACCTGACAGCTCTTTATAGCAGACTCTTACTGCCTAGCTCCTATAAATCAAAGCAAACCCTCTGCTCCAAGGCCCTTTTGAAGCTCAAAATATGCAGTGAAGTGTTTTATTTTTCCTCCTTCTGCTTTCACTCAGTGTTTCTGTTCAGTCTGGCCTAGATGGGCTGAAATACCATGACAGAAATTGCTGTGGAGGTAGAAGGAACTCCAGTTAGAGGCTGTCTTGGGCTGGAGCTCTGGCCAGATGTGGAGGGCCAGATCTTCAACTGGTGTTGGCAGCTGCAGCACAGGTGGAATTAATGGTAATAAACTGATTTGCCCCAAGCTGCGAAAATATCTGAACCGTGTTGGCGCCCATTGCCTCTTCAGATGCAGCCTTGAAAAGCTGTGCAATATTGCATTAATGTTTCAATTTTTCTACCACTCCTCTGTTTTTCTCAGTTGATCTTGTGTGTGATTTTGAGCCTTTTCCTGAAGGGTTAAGACATTGCTTGAGAAGAAATGCACAAAAAAGTGACCAACAATAAAACCATACTTATTTTCATGGTGCTGGGGTTTTTTTTCCCCTTTTGAAAACTTCTGTAAATCATAAGCAACATTTAATGTGAAAATGGGTCATTTTGAGGTTCCTTCAGTTTTTAAAACCTCTAAGTTTTTTTCGTTATAACTTGGTCTCGGAGTCTTTCCTTGTTACTCAGTTTATGTGTGAAGGTGGGGTGTGGGGCTGGGGGGAGGGTTTACAGTAACTCTTTTGTATATTATGGATATTCTGCTTTTGCTTAGTTCCAGGCTTCGTGGATTTTTTGTGGCTCCTCAGACCAACAATTACACCTTCTGGATTCAGGCAGATGGTCAGGCATCTCTCTACTTAAGTTTGTCCCAAGATCCAGAACATAAGGTATTACTCTTGGCAGAGAAAAAAAAATGAGATCAGGGTAGGAAATGGTTTTAATTAAGGTCATAACAAGTGGGAATTTTCCCAGGGTGAATTGGCTTATTGGCCCATATTATGAATCTGTTGCCGAGTGAAATCTGTATGATTATATTTGATGTTTTACATTGGCCCAGCTCAGCTAATGAAAACTCACTCTTGCAGCCAGAGTCTTTGAATGTCTTTTCCAGAAGACCTTTTTTGTTAGTTCAGCACATCACCATCACTACCAATCTGTGCAGGGGGACCTGGAGGGTTGTTGTCTGTCTTTCTCAGTTTACCTCCTTTTTTGACTGTTGAAATTTTGCCCTCTGAAAACATTTGGTCCTTCCCTTTGTAAAGCTGACAGGATGCTATAAATGGGCTGTTCTTAAGACTAGTAACTGAACGGGGCTAGAAGAAATATGAAGGACTTCTTACCTATAGAAAAAAAAAATCATTACTGGCCTTACTAATGGTAACATATTACATCTCAGAAGGCTTTAGACATAGTCCTTTCTTTTGTATTTGGAGGATGTGAGATGTAGAACTGAAGTCATCCATGAAAACTTGCATGGGGAACTGTTATTAGGGCTAGGGTCAGCCATAAGAATTATCTTATTTATGGTATTGAACACTAAAAAAAAACCTCTTTGAGATGATGGCTTTTTCCTGTATAATGGGAAGGAATGTGTCAACCATCCACCCACTGCTACCAGCTATAAGCACAAGTCTGTTTTTTTTGGAGCTGTGGTATTGGACAAAGTGGCTTTGGGGGCTGGAGAAATGTCTCTGCAACTGATTGATTTGGTTGGTCTGGACACAGGTGAGAATAGCTTCTCTCCCTGCCGGCAATTCGGAGTGGTCTGAGAACTGGGTGAAGAGCTGGAGTGAGCGCTGGCAGCCAAAATCCCAGAAATTTGAGCTAACTGCTGGTTCGAAGTACTACTTGGAAGCGCTGCATCATGGAAAGGCACCCAGCAATGGGATGAGAGTTGGAGTCCAGATACACAACACGTGGCTGAATCCCCGTGTGGTGAACAACTACTACATTGAGAGACACGAAATTCGGGCTCATGCTTTGCATCTTCCAGAAATGCAGGTCAGTGCTGTGTGCTTGACCCTGGGAGCTGGACTAGCCCTGATTCAGTTGACGTGGTTGGCAGCAAATCCTAATTGTAAAGGCCTTGCTGGTGCTAGACATGAAAGTGTGTTCCCACCTTGTTTTTAACTTGCTGAGATAGTTGGTGAGAACGGCATCATGAGCTGAAGGTGTTTGGGGTTTTTTACATGTTGGTGGGTGCATGTAAACCCTATGGTTGCATTAGAATCTGCTCATGTGCTGAAGCGTAAGCAATGCTGACTCCCGTCAGGTTTTATTTCACTCATGAACACCTCACCTTGTTAACTAATGCTCATTAATACAAGTTTGGGATAGTTTTTATTTCCCCTTCTTAGCTGACAGTGCACTCAGTGTGTGTTATCTGGCCAGCCCTATATTGCAATCAGATGATAGAAACTTTCAGCTTGATGAGGTACTCAGCAATGAGTGAAATTTTTCCTGGTGGTTAAGCCCCACAGCTGCAGGTCAGGAGCTTTGGAGACCGTTTATGGATGTCAGCATGTCTGCACAGGACATGTACCCCTTGTGCTCCCATTAATCTAAGAATGTGAGCCCAAGGCTTGTGTCAGGAGAGACCATGGGGGACAAAAGCAGTTCAAGAGTCCCTTCAGCTACGCTTAATTTACAGAGGCTTAAGAAGGCAAAACGCTGTCTGTAAAACCCTCCTCAGTAGGAGATACCACGTTTGAAGTCTACGTGTCTTGTGCAGTTTGTATCTGTTTTCATTTATTTATTTGCTTCTTTGCTTGCCAGATGTTGACTGTGTCTGGTACTGGGTGTTTCAGTATCTCCTGGAATAACGTAATGCGCAGAATGATCCCCACAAATGCTACGGCTCACCAGGTAGGCGTCATTAAACGCAGACACCCAGTGCTTTGTTGGGGGTGTAATTGATGGAGCTCTGGTGCTTGACAGCCATTAAGCATTTGGCCCAGAAGCTGAGATAAACTTTACATGATGGAAGGGTGATTTTTGTTACTGGGAGTGTCTCACAGTGGGATTTGGGGTGGGGGGGGAAGGCTGACTCCCAGGTATATTCTAAGCATAGCACATCATTTGACCTTGTGTCGCGGATGGAGTGAGAAGGAGGCAAAAATAATGTGGTTTATTGGTGTAAAACAGTGAGTTAACAAAGTTCAGTGGTAACTGCGACAATAGTTTGAGATTCGATGGCAAGGTACACTTGGTTATTTACTGCACAGAGGACAGGGTCAGACAAAACTGTCAGGGAGACCCTCCCGTTGAGTCACGAGGTTCGGAAAAGATCCCCTTGCTTTCTAAACTCCCTCAGAGAGGAGTCTAGGTGCGGCTGGATCCAATCCTAGTCCCAGACTTGGTCAACGGTTTATGTCTAAAGGATTATATATATGCAATTAATCCTTTCTGTCACTTAGCTAAGATTTCCAAGTTAGCATGCTGTTAGTCACTTACCGAGAATCTGTCGTGGTAAGGAATCTCTCAACCTCGAGGAGTAACCTTGAGAGGCGTCCCTGCTCAAGGGGAGATCCTGGCGTGCAGCCCGCTGCCATGCAGGAGAGCTCCAAGGGGGCCACCCTTCGGGCCCAGACACAAACCAGATGTATCTATCACCACAGCCACAGGTGGTTATCACTGGAAAGAGGTCAAAGGAGGGGGGGTCAGAGACGAGGGGGGAGCACACCGCCACACCTTGGCCTGTCATGTCTGCAATGAAGTATGTGGTATCTTCAGACCCTTGGACTTCTCCTCTAAAACTGGATGTGTAGTGTACGGCTCTTGCTTCAGACAGGAGCTCCTGTCCGGCTTCTTTAAAATCTCATAGCCTCTTGATGTGGTAGTTGGCCACTGTCAAAACTACCTAGGGTGACAGCTCCATGATAGTCATCTACTCAAAACACCTGGTGGAGCCTGGAGGGGCATGCAGGTGCCCAGGCTGTGATATAGCTCATGTAAGAAATCTGCACCTTTCTGAAGATGCTGCTGGACACTTGTGATGGGTTGACCTTGGCTGAACACCAATGTATCCCTCCCCTCCTCAGCAGGACAGGCAGGGAGAAAATGAGATGGAAAAAAAACCCCTCGTGGGACAAGATAAAGGCAGTTGAATAAAAAGCAAAAGCTGCACGTGGTAGCAAGAGGAAAACAAGTTTTTGTTTTCTACTTCCCATTAGCAGGTGATGTTCAGCCACTTCCCGGGAAGCAGGGCTTCAGCGTGCATAGCCATTGCTCCGGAAGACAAAATGTCATAAAAACCGAATCCTTCCCCCTTCTTCCTCCTTTTCCCTTAGCTTTTATATCTGAGCCAATGTTATATGGTATGGAATATCCCTTTGGTCAGTTTTGGTCAGGTGTTTTGGCTATGTCCCCTCCCAAAATCTTGCCCCCTCCCAGCCCACTGGTGATGGTGGGGGAATGTTGGAGGCAGCCTTGATGCTGTGCGAGCACTGCTCAGCAGCAGCCAAAACGTTGGTGTGTTATCAACACCTTTCCATGTACCAATGGAAAGCACAGCACTAAGAGGGATGCTATGAGGAAAACTAACCCCATCTCAGCCCGACCCAATGGACCACTTAAAGGCTATCTCACCCCCCTGGAGGGTATCAGACATGGAAGTTTACACTCTGTGTTGAGCTGAGTTTTATTTTCTACCATTTGGATACCTGGATGAAAAATGTAGTGATGATGTGTGTGTTGAAGCTTTCTGCTGAAACGATCCAGACACCGTTGTACTGTGACTGCTTTTCACTTTCTTAATTTTTTTAAAGGTGCAAACAGCAATAGAGGAACTTCTTTCAATAAGATGTGAAACTGAGCCAACCTCTGCTAAAATCCTTTTCCGTGATGGCTTTGAGAAAGAAGGTAATGAACTTCTGTGATAAATAAGCAGCATTTACTGTGAGAGTTGATTTCCTTTTATGAAATAAATGTACTTTAAACTTTTAAAGATAGTAAATTTACACTTTTAATGGGGTTAAGTACATACATTTATGTTTCTCAGCTATTCATTATTTGTATGTATTCTGATGGGGGAGCTTATGGAACTAATATTAAAACCAACGTGATTAATACAATAATGAGAATTTTTTTTTCTGTAATATATTGTGATGACTCAGTTATATTACAACACACTTATCAATGCAGATGTTATGTTTTGGTTGATAGAAATGTTAGGAGTAGAGACAAAAATATCTGGGGCATGTGAACTTATTCATGTTTCAATATGTCTGCTGGGGAAGGAAATCTGGGGTAGCCCATAGCTATAGCTCAGGCTGTGGAATATGGATGATTCTGACTCTGGAGGTCTTCACCTTCAGTGTTTCTTGATGACTGAAAATGAAACAGTGCAAATATCTGTGGTATACTTGACTGGTCAGGCAAAGGGTCAAACAGCAATTGTTTTTGTAAAAAAAAAAAAAAAAAAAAAGCAAAAAAGCCACATTATCGATAAGAGTTTTCTAACATTGAAGGTGTTGGGCACATCAGAAAGCTACTTTAGTAGAAAGTAACTCCAGAAACACTGGCCCAGGTTGCCCAGAGCGGTGGTTGATGTCCCATCCCTGGGAACATTCCAGGCCAGGTTGGACGGGGCTGTGAGCAACCTGATGTGGTTAAAGGTGTCCCTGCTCCTGCGGGGGGGTTGGACTAGATGACCTCTAGGGGTCCCTTCCAACCCAAAACATTCTATGATTCTATGATTCTATGAAAAAAAGCAAAATTGAGCTAAAAGCCACGGATAGTTTAACAGCTCAGAGGGAATAAAAATCTATGCATAACAAATAGAACAAAGGAGAACTTCAATTTTAATTGATGATTATAAAAGGTAGATAAAGTTAAAAGACAGCAGAACGATGGTGAAATTGTGGTGAATGGATGCCAGGAAAATAAAGGAACAGCCACACATGTTCAAAGCTAGGGTGTATCTAGCCCGGTGTCCTGTCTTCAGCAGAAACCAAAACAGATGTCTAGGGAAGTGTAAAAACTGGATGATTATGTATAATAATTCATCATTAATTCTCTCCAAATGTGAATTATTTTCAGCTGAATTTCCTGAGTGTAATGTTTTTTAATTTAATTACCTTCAATGTCTCTCCCTTACCTGTATTTACATAATCTCCCCTTGAACACAGCTAAACTACTGCATTCATAATTTCTTCCAGTGAAGATTTCAACAGGTCCAACACTTGTGCAAAGAACCACAGCTACCGCCTTTTGACTTTTTTTTTTTTTAAAAAAAATCCGCTATTAACTTCATTTTGCAGGCTTTATTTATCTTCCTAGAAGAAAAGGGGAATTGTCAGTATGTAGTGACAGAAGAAAGTCTTTTATGTATTAGTGTCACGGATGGAGTGAGAGGAAGGCAAAAATAATGTGGTTTATTGGTGTAAAACAGTGAGTTAACAAAGTTCAGCGGTAACTGCGACAATAGTTTGAGATTCGATGGCAAGGTACACTTGGTTATTTACTGCACAGAGGACAGGGTCAGACAAAACTGTCAGGGAGACCCTCCCGTTGAGTCATGAGGTTCAGAAAAGATCCCCTTGCTTTCTAAACTCCCTCAGAGAGGAGTCTAGGTGTGGCTGGATCCAATCCTAGTCCCAGACTTGGTCAACGGTTTATGTCTAAAGGATTATATATATGCAATTAATCCTTTCTGTCACTTAGCTAAGATTTCCAAGTTAGCATGCTGTTAGTCACTTACCGAGAATCTGTCGTGGTAAGGAATCTCTCAACCTCGAGGAGTAACCTTGAGAGGCGTCCCTGCTCAAGGGGAGATCCTGGCGTGCAGCCCGCTGCCGTGCAGGAGAGCTCAAAGTTGCTCTTGGGCTGCTCACTATTTATGGGGGTAAGATAATTGGCTTATAGTCATATTTGCATACTGACCACTGTGCTTAGGTGGGCACATTCCACAACAGCCCTTGGCTATTGTGTTGTTATCTGTCTCCCCCCACATCCAGTGGGTGCATCCTTCAGGACCAGACACAGACCAGATGCATCTATCACCATGGCCACAGGTGGTTATCACTTGAAAGAGGTCAAAGGAGGGGGGGTCAGAGACGAGGGGGGAGCACACCGCCACAATTAGGAAGGAAAGAAATCCTAGAAGTTTTTCAGCAGCATGGTTGACAGACCAATGGAACCAACATCCTGAAAGGGAAAGGTGGATTCGCTGTTGCTTTATGCATTAATTTCCAGCTTTGCCTGAGTGTTTCCCAGAAAGGGGGGGTAGATTTGGTCAAACATACTCTGTATGGCTAAAGACTTATTTGCCATGAGGTTTTATAGTCAGAACAGTAATCTAATGGTCCCTCCTCCTGTCTTTCAGCACCCTTAAGCTGGTGAACATTTGCCCATGTATCTGGGCAGGAGAGTACTTAAGAGTAGGACTGTGAAAAATTTTGGATACCCACTTCCTGTATTTTCCTGAATCTCTTGACCTTACTGGTGTCTTCTGAATCATTTTCAAGCCTCTCATCCCCTCTTGTTTTTTTATCTCTGTCAGATATAAAGGGCGTCATCACCACAGGACACATTGTCAGTGGAACAGAACCTTTCTGTGGGAGGTTCAGTGTTCACAGACCAAAGCAGCTGGTGAAAACTTCCCCATCAACTCTACCAAGTTATGATCTTACTGAATACACACATGTAAGTGGCTGCTCTTGAGGAGCAGGTTGCACTGGGGACTGAAGTCTCAGAGCCCAATCAGCAACATAAAAAATTCTGGTCTCCTTACATTTCCCCCAAATCCAAAAAGGATCACGTCTTTGGACTATGCTTGTGGACAGAGCAGAGTGTCTTTTATTGACTGGGTGGACAGTTTGAGATCTCTGAGATGTAGATAGGGTTTAACACATCTGGCTGCTATGTGCTCCTGGGGATGCAACCCTTGCTGAGGGAAAGGAAAAGGTGGGATGGTGTTGGGAAAAGGTTGGTGGTGCAGGGATGATCACTTCTTGACAAAATGAAAAAACTCTCTTGTTATCTGGGTGTCCACTCTCACTCACTTTTCTGCTCATCTACACCTACTTTTAACAGGAATAAGGTCTTGATTTCAACTCTCTTGCTCTTTCTTTGTCACCTGGGGGAAGGCAAACAGTTGGGGGTTGAAAGGAAGGAGGTGGGAGGGAAAGACTTGTCCCCAAAGTCTCCTGCAGTCCTTCCAGACTCCTACAAGTTCTGCTCCACAGACCTCTCCCAGTCCTATTTCCCCATCTGACACCCATCCCAAACCTTGTACCCTGCAAATCAAACCAAATTATCCAGTCTTCTATCCCAGATACTTGAAATCCCCATTGGTACTTCCCAGCTATGTTTTTCCTCAAAACCTCACTGAAGCCTTTAGGGGTCAGATTCATGCTATGTGGTGGCACACTGGTCACCTGGATGCCATACTTTGTCTTCTATAGGGATTATTAAAGGCAATCTAGCCTTAAGCAGTGGGCTTTATTGCTGACCTTGAACAAGTTTTCCTACTAACATTAAACTGGAATTGAAGCAGAATATAATATCTTCTACAGACATTACAAATAAATTACCTGTGGTTTGATTTGTGAATTTTTTCCCCTATTTTTGCAGGTATGTTTTGCACATAAAGGCCGTATGAGCAATATTCTTCATATCTCGGTGTCCTACACCAATGTCTCTTTATGTTCAGTGAAGAGGAACCTCACCTGCCTGTGGGATTTCAACGAAACTGACTCTAAAAGGTATCCAGCCCCTTATAGCTTCCAGAGATTTACAATTCCCGTAGTAAGAAGGTGTACTAGGAAAACTGAGAAGTTCTTATTTGTATAGGAACAAATGGTCAGTTAGGGTAAGTTGACACATGCTCTGTCCCTGCAGAAGCATTCCCAGGATGTATTTCCATTCTTTTTGAGGATTTACTGAGTAAATTTACTTGTTTCTTGTTATATGCACTACTCTCCATCCATACACTACTATGGTAAGGTTTGTTCTGTCCTTGGTGAGCACACCAGAAGGTTTCCGAGGACATTAATTTCCCAGTTTCTTTGCAGAAAATCCACTGACTGTTGCCAGTGAGACAGAGAGATGAATTGATTTTTTTTTTTCCCAGGAACCTCATGAGATCGTTGGTACACAAAGTTTTGACAATTGGTATAGTCTTTGATTTTCTCTGTTCACTTTGAATCGCATGGGTAGAAAACATTTGGTGTTAGATGTAAAGCTTGGGGCAGGCAGACTTAAAAACTCAGGAGTGTCTGAAGAACTTGAAGAGGTGAAGTTGGCAGCTTGGGTACCTGTAAGGTTGGGGGAGGGGTGTGCGTGCGTGCCTGGAATGGGAAGAAGGGGCTGGGATTAAATTACTACAGGGTGGAGAGAGCTGGGAGCCTTGAGTAATCATGTGATGTTCCCAAGGGGCCTGAACTCTGGATTGACGCCATTACTGATGCTGTTGTAGTCTTTTGTCAAAAACAGAGCAGCAGTAGGCATTCCCACATCCCACTCTTGTGATACAGAGGAACAGAGATCTAAAGCTTTGTTTCTCACTATGGGAAACCCAACAGAGACACACAGAGAGTGATCACAGGCCATTGAGCAAGTATCTTGTGTATGAGTAAGTAATTGCAGCAGTGCTTGATGTTATGTGGAAGCTTCACAAAGCACCTCAAAATTCTGTAATTGCTACTGCCTCACAGCAAAAGAGAGCTAGCAGCACCTTGGTGTCTTCTAGCTGGACATTTGTCTGCACTGACCTCTGGAAGGGGTGTGTGAATCTCTCCACGCTTCTCCAGGACCTCCCTGCCAACGCCTCAGTGTTTGTGCATCAGATCAACTTGCTGAGCTCTGTGCTGCAAAAGAAAACATCTGGGTCATTTTACCTTGATGAAGTCATCATCGCAGACAGAGCTGTGACTGGTAAAGGAATTTGTTGGGTTGTTTTTTTGTTTTTTTTTTTTTTTCTTTTCTATTAATGTTACTGCCTTTCCAAGATACTCTGTTAAAATCTTTAATGATAGAGCTGATTGAAACTTTTTCAAAGGGGAAGGGTGTCATAGAATCATAGAATGTTTTGGGTTGGAAGGGACCCCTAGAGCCCATCCAGTCCAACCCCCCTGCAGTGAGCAGGGACGCCTTTAACGACATCAGGTTGCTCAGAGCCCCGTCCAACCTGGCCTTGAATGTTTCCAGGGATGGGGTCTCTACCACCTCTCTGGGCAACCCCTGCCAGGGTTTCACTACCCTCATTGTAAAGAATTTCTTCCTTAGATCTAGTCTAAACCTACCCTGTTTTAGTTTAAAACCATTACCCCTTATGCTGTCACAGCTGTTCCTGCTAAAAAGATTTTCCCCATCTTTCCTATGGGCCCCCTTTAAGCACTGAAAGGCCGCAATCAGGTCTCCTCGCAGCCTCCTCCTCTCCAGGCTGAACAACCCCAACTCTCTCAGCCTGTCCTCATAAGAGAAGTACTTCACAACAGGCGCAAAAATAATTTTATTTTCTTAAACGTATTTTTTTTGTGACAGCACTCAAGAAGGAACTGCCAAATATCAGTATTCTTGGTTTATTTGAAAATGTGCTTCTACAAATACAACTCTTGAGTGGTCTTAGCCAGACAAAAACAAACAAAAAAACCCCAAGCAGATATGATTCCAGCTATGAAATGAAAATAACCTAGGCCTAGTGACAGCTCTTCTCCTGGCTCTGAGGAATGCTTGTGCTCTTTTTCTTTCAGTTTCTCAGAGAGATCCCAAACCACCTCGGCCAGGTGGGAGAATAGTTGAAGCAGTATCTGTGGTGGGGTCTTCTCCCACCTACAATGTGTCCTGGATGGTGTCTGGCTGTGGTGCAAGTCCACCCCTTCTCTCTCCAAGGTAGGGACAGTGAGTAGATCATCTTGATACCCTGTAACACCTCTTGCAGTTCCCTCTGACATGGCTGGAGCTGGTTGTCATCTAAGACAGGACATGGGAGGCAGTGGAGGATAAGTCTGCAGCTTGGCAGTCCATGTGTCTTCATTGGAGTCTTCTCCTCTAGGCATTTCAACTGGGCTGTGTTCAGACTTTTTAGGCTACTGAGTCCTGCACAGATGTCTGTACTCAGTAGATGGGCTGCAGATCTAAATTAAGGTATTTAATTTCACTATCAGCGCATGAGTATTTTGAGCTTTGCTCAACGTATAAGATCTTGAACATAACTGTAGGCATCTTAGTGAAGGTATCTGGTTCTGGTATTGAAGTTCCGTTGTATGAATGAGATTCAGTTGCTAAACCAGAGGTGCTTAAGATGTTTCAGCTATGTATGTAATTCAGCTAGGTATGTAAGATATGCATGGGACACCAGGATATGATGTAGAACTAGAAGAAGATCTAAGCCCTTCTGGAACAGTGGATGGAGATCAGGCAGAGATGCTCCCAAACACCTTTAATGACACCAAGCGCCATGTTAGGCAATGGAAGTCCAACTTAGGTGTCCTTGTTTACTGAGATGGTTTCTATTCTGGAAGTCCCAACAATGAAAGAGGAGGCAGAGCCATAGGCTGACCACATCAGAGAGCGCAACATTAAAGGGCTATACTGGCAAAGAATAAGTCCTGTAAGAGTTGAATTGTGTCCAGTTGAGTCAGCAAGGACCTGATGAGAATAGAGCCAGGCAAGGGAGAAGCTGGAATGAAGCAGCCTCTCTTCTGCAGCACCAGCTCTTAGTTTGGTTCAATTTCTTCACCCAAAGTGGCTTGCTCAGGTGTCCACAGGAAACCTCCTTTCAAAAGAAGGTGAACCTCAGCCTGATGTAACTTAAATTGGTTTCTTATCCTGTGGTCTTTCCTCTTTCAAGCAAATACAAAGCAATGGGTCGTTACTTTTGAGTGCTCTAAAGTCAGCTAGGTTTTCATTTAAGAATTGGCTAAGAGCTGAAGAAAATTAGGTCCCAGAGCAGCCAAGTCCTTGCATTTCTTCATGAAATCCATGGCTTTGGTGAATTTCTCAATCACCTTTTGGGGTTCAGAGACAGTCCAAGTCAGCACAAAGGAAAAAACTGACCCAGTCCTCCCTTTTCCCAACACGATAGCTGCTCAGCAGCAGCTCAGACTGCTGTCCTGCAAAGCCCAAGTCTAAGAAGTCATTCAGTAAAAGTTCAGACCTAGCTGTTTTCTAGAAGTCAACTTAGCTAGCACGACACAGAAGGATTTGACTTGTGAAAGTCTCTCCTTGAAAAGCGCATTCAATTACCAGTGTCAAATGTAGCATTTTGACATGAACCACCAACGGTAAAGGCAAGGCTGAGAATACGGGGGGAATTTTGTGAGGTCTAATATGCATGAACAGAGGTTTAACTAACAGAAGGAGGGGAAATTTTCACTCCTATGCGTAGACTTAAGATGGGCGTTGGAGTGCTACATACAGCATCGATGAGCATGTTTTTCAAAGGGATTTAGAAAAACTAGAAAAAAAAAAAGCCATGAGCACGATTATGGAGCTGAAGAAAACGCTAAGGAGAGAAGGATTTAAGAAGCTCAATCAATTTAGCCTATAAAAAGAAGATTAAGAGATGGATTGATCACAGTACTTCTCACCAGGAAAAAAAAAGTGCTTAGGATTGGTGGGCTTCTGCATCTCACAGAGGAAGATGGAAAAGAAGCCAGTGTGTGATACTGAAAGCAGAAATCAGCACGTGCTTTAAAAATGGGTGGGCTGATCACTGTCTTTGGACACCTTCAAAATAAACCTGGCTCTGTCTCTTAACTGAGCTCTTCAGTACAACTTGCCACGGTCGGGACAGGAATATCGGCTAAAATCGGATGTACCGGCTGTACAGCAGATGAGAAGGCTCAGTGGTCTTTTTGATTTTGTATTCTTGAAATACAAGAGGTTGAGGCTTGAGAGACTTTGACTGTTATCCAGACACTTGACCACATGGTGGCATCGTTGTACCACAGAGCGTCTCTTTTTCCTTTGAAAAAGGAGAATTTTAGTGGCAAGGGAGAAAATATATTAAGTTTCAGAAATTGGGCTTTGGGTGAACTCTAATATGAAATATGGCTGTAATTCAGGGGAGTTAAGATTTTGCTAGGCTCGAGGAGACTACAGGATGAATTAGGAAAGCTTCTTGCTTTGATGTTGTAACTGCTGTCCAGGCTGCATTGAGTTTAAAAAGCACCAGTACGAGGGCAGGACTTGCTTGTGCTTGGTGCTCTATGAACTATTTCTTCTATCGTAATTAAAAAAGGTGGTTTTCCACCATTTTCTGTTGTGTGCATTGCCTACGTTATGTGGGTATAAGTTGGGAGTATTCAATTCCATTTGAGCTGTGAGTGTGTTCCCCTTAGGTCCTTGGCGAGTGTTGTGCCCATAGGCGTCTCTCTGCAGCTGGTGACATGGGGGTGGTCAGGAGTGGGGGTCTTGGCTGCAGATGCCTTCATGTGAACCCTCTCTGTTGCACAGAGGTGCTTTGCTTGGGGAAAGCTCTGAGGAGTTTGGCCACCTCTATGTCTCCACGGAGGATGTGAGAGTCAGCCTCACCATTCAGAGACTGCAAAAGTCATCGCCACCTATAGGAGGGACCTTCCGCATCCAGCTGGCCAATACACTGATACCAGGTAAAAGATGCAAGTACAGGTCCTGGATTTCCTTTGCAGGAAGCAAAGTGAAGAAGAGACAATATTGAACCTTTGAAATGCTCAGGGTACAGGCTGGCAGGTTAAACCCGTTGCAATAGTTGCTAGATCTTTTCATTTGATGTCCTTCAAGACAGGACTTAAGCATTATAGGCAGGGCAGTATTTCTAGATGGTAGGTATGGGGTTGTTCCAAAATGCGTACAGCCACTATGAAATATTTGCCCTCATGTTAAAGAACTTCGGATCGGATCCTGAACTGGGATTTTTGCATCCCAAAGTTTCATTATGCTGATATTTCCCCAGCATGCATACTTCTGGTCTTCAAAGAGGCTTAGAATGAAAGTGAGCAGGTTAATATGAGCAAGATCAATGATAAAGTTCTTGACTGGTGACTCAGTTATAATGTCAAATCATAAAATAGGAAACTGTAACCTTAGAATATTAATGAAATAACTCTTTCCTACATTCTGTCACTTAGTATTTTTCTGCAACAGCTGAAGGCTGTCTCAGTAGTGCCCTGCTTTGAATATAATCTTTTAAAAATGTACTCCATCACGCTTGCCCTGTTCCCTGGTCTTATGCTTTCTTCCCTTTCTCATGAATTGGTTTAGAGAGATTTATTATATCTCCAGATTTGTCTATGGGTATTTATGTCAAAAGAAATAAGACATCATTTGCATTTATTTGGGATTGGACTCTACAAAGTCGTCTTCGGAGACTGACTCCCCCCACCCTGCACATCCTCATCCCTCTCTTCTAGGAAGTTTCCAACCTTTCTATTTTGAAGGAACATGACTTGCAGACTGAAATTGTGGGTCTCCTAAAAATGTAGGTTTCATGTAATGAAAAGTATTACTTAGACAAAATTTCTGATGTCCCAACTGGAAGAAGTTTCTAGGTTTTCTTAGTTATTAAATAGTGAAGATCTTTTGGCATTTGGGATCCAGTAAATTTCTCTGTGCTGCTTTTTGGCAGTTTGAACCACAACAGCCTTGCACTAATAATGAAACATCTTTCTTTTCTAGGAGCAGGTAGATGTGCTCTCCTAGGGATGAGGATATCCACTGCTTTCTAATGTCTTTTGCAGATGTTTCAGTGCACATCTCCTCCCGCCATCTCCGCAAGCTTTTGCAAGAAAACATAGATAATTCTACAGCTCCATACTTCAACACCAGTGACTTCATCGTGACCAAAGTCTCAAACTCTTGTTATGAAAGAATCTGGACACTGACTTGGAAAACAAAAACTGGGGACTTGCCCGATGTTATCAGTGTACAGTAACTTCTTTTACTACCACCCACTTTGAACCCCAGTGTTTTTGGTCTTGGCAGAGTCATTCTCCCAATTTTTGTTTTTATGAAAACACCCATGGTATCTTAGGTGATCTATCTTCTTATTAGGAGCAGCATCTTAAGCAAATTCCAGATTAGATGATTAAAAAACCACTTGCAGTAACAGGAGGAGAAATTACATCTTCAGAGCCTGTGCTTCAAAATGAGGAGGCTAGAATGTAATTTCTATGATTTTTTTGCAGTTCTGCACAATAAAGGGACTGCTGTACTGAAATGAAAGCTATTTTAATCACATTAATATTTCAGTGCAGTAGCTGAAGCTCAGTACGGGTTTGTGGTACCACTTCTGGGCCAAGAAGGTCTTTTTCTGAGAACTATTCTTTATGGTTTCATATCTGGTTCTCCTAAGTCTCAGATGAAGGCTCAGTTCACACTCTCCCATCTTGAGATTTATTGTTTAAGTCTTGCTTCAAGTAGAAGTTACTTTTTTGGATAAGGACTCAGAATGAGCTGCTTCCTTCCCCAACCCCAAAAACTATTGCTTTGTATATCCAGCTTGTTAAAAGTATAAAATTCTCATTGATGAAGCAATGAATTCTCATGCTCAAGACATTGGCCTGGACGGTGAAAAAAGCCTAAGCTGCATCTTCAACTGTAGTGCAGGCCCTTGTTTCACCCAAAGTCATGTCTTTGAGAAGCAGATGTTCAATATTTCCATGCCTAATTCCAAATGATATTACTGAGTGTTGGAAGTTTATTTGCAATTTTGGTTCCTCTTTGCCTCAGTTTCTTGCCTGTAAGGTGAGGATGGGAATAGGGAGGTGTTGTGAAACCTTGGTCAATGAAGATTTAGACCTGGAGGTAGGAGTCATGGAGGAAGCTTGAGGACAGGTTTCCAGGAGTTATCTGCTGCCTTGTAATGACTCTGTATGAACTCTGGGGGAATGGTTTTAATTTAAAATCACAGGACGGAAAGGGGTGAGAAATTTAAATTCTTTGTTCTTTGCCAGGTCTCTGCTGAAAGCCTCACTGGTCTGAAGCCAACTGTTTCTAGTCGTGTGGTATATGATGGGGGTGTCTTTATTGGACCAATATTTGGGGACATGCTTGCTACCTTCAATAACAAAACACAGGTGAGTTAATGTGCTGTCACACTTCACCCTCACCTGGGTCATGTAGATCCAGGAGTCTGAGATATTCAGGTACCTACTTCTGCCACTAAATCCTTCCAGAAATCTACTGTTCTGTGCTTTACCATAAATCAGTCAGATTCATCTCCCTGGTTAGTGCAGCAGGACTTTCCTCCAAGAGCAATTGCAGGTGGGCAGAATGGTCATCATGGGTGATGGAAGACAATTTATTTCTTCTGAGGCAGTGGCCAAGGGCTGACATCAGCTCTGTACTCCCACCCTTGCTGGGTCCTATGGTGCTGGCCACCAAACTTGGGAATGACACTATTCATCTGCAGCGTTCCAGCTGTTACACCGGTGGGCAGAATAAATGAGGTGATAATCTGTGAATTAGGCAAGTCCCTCAGCCTCTGTGGATCTCAATTCTTCACGTGTGAAAAGAGAGCAAGTAGGGCTTCCTGGCTGAATGAGTCTGCTGGATGGACAAACGTGTCGCAAACTCTCTCTCAGGTGGTGCAGAGCGGTGCGTGTTGCTGGCTTTGCTTCCAGCAAAGGCTGCCAGGCACTGTAGCGGTAACAGGGTGATGTTGGACATGCTCGAAGCCTAGCTGTGCAGCTTTTGGGGCTAGGTCACCCTGCTTTTTTAGTGAGCCTGTTCCCCAGACATGACACCTGCCTTGCTTCCCATGGCTCAACCACCTGTAATATCTCTGCCACCTGTGGTGCAGATGTACCCTCAAATAGACCAAATGAAAGAAGAATGGCAGCAGCAATCAGATTTCCTTTTTGAAGCTTTGGTCTGGCTTGCTGCTAGCAACAAGTGTAAAAATGTCCCTCTAATTATTGTGTCTCTATTCAAGCAGAGTACTTTGCAACTCTGTGCTTCATGTGTTTCTTGGAGACTGTCTGCTTTTGCTTTTTTCAGGTGTTCTGGCACACCCTTAGTCCTTGGGAGGGAGATGAAGAGGGGCTCTCCCATGCCTTATGCTTTGTCAGTTGACTCTTCTGAGATATCAAGATCTGACTGAGCTCTGAGATATCAAGATCTCAGAAGAGATATCTTTTGATATCTCTTGTTAGATAACCAAGGACACAGACCACCTTTTTTGTTTCAGCTTGAACAAGGGGAAAAAAATAAAATTGAAGGCTACATGCTGAAAAGACATATTTTAGGATTCATTCTATTTAGTCTTACAGGGTGCTTTAAACATAATAAACTTGTTCTCAAGGCGGGGTGGGAAGAACTGGGGTATGGCAAGCAGGGTCTTCAATGGATGACTAGAAGAACAGGAGCTGGGAGGAGCTGTAGGTCCCAGCAAAATGGGAGATAGGATCCTGCAGGCACTGAGAAAGGTTGGCAATACAGCTTCCAAAGCTGTGCTCTCCTTTCCTTAAGGCTGAGCTCTGGCAAGGCTTGCAATTAAATTTGTAATGAGACTGCAGCAGGATAAACAGCTGCCCGGTGGTGTTCTGTGCTGGCAGAGTCAGAGTGCTCGCAGTAGCTCACTGTGGCTACCGGCATCAGTCTGCAGGTCTGCCAGATAGATGTGGCTCTAGAAAACATCTCTGTTCCCTTCCCACCTTTAGGGTAACCTTCTTTTCTGTCTCCAGGTGGTGGTGGTGGTGAATGATGTCCTTGCAAACTGTTCTGGTTCATGCTCTTTCCAGTTCAGCCAGGAATTGACACCCGTAGTCAGTGATGTGGAGTATTTGCCAGGTAACAGGGCTTTGTGTCGGGAAAAGCTGTGAAAAAGATCTTTTGCTGTCATAAAGATCTGCCAGATGCTGATGACTTTGTGTTCGTGTGTATTCTTTTGGAAATGTCTGATTTTATGGAAACTGCACTTTCTTGTGGGGCACTTCTGATCAGCTTCAGTCTTAAAGTATGTGATGCAGACATGTTTTTGCAGCAACATGAAGAGGGCGGAGGCATAAAAGAGAGAAAAACAGTGGTAGGCTTGGTGCTTAAAGTGAAAAGTGGTTCTCAGATCAAGTTATTTTTAATAAAAATTTAAGGAAAAAAGTAATAGCGGGACAGGAACAGGCAGGAATGGGCATTATGGGGGGGGGGGTAGGAAATGAGAGATCATCAGTGGTGTAGTTTTTAGGATGTTCTGATGAAGATAGTAAAAACTTTTAACTGTTGGCTGAAAGTAAATCCTGGGCATTGCTACTCCAAAATCCATGAATAATCTTGTTGATTATATTCCTTCAGGTGACGGGTCCCAGGCCACAGTAGTTATCAGGGGAGCTGGCTTCACTGAGGAGAAGCTAGCCCTGCATGTGAAGGTGAACAACACAACCTGCCATGTCATAACGTTGAATCAAACCAAAGTGGTTTGCCAGATGGAGAGGCTGCCAGTCGGAGTCTACCAGTTGGCACTACTGGTGAGACCTTACGGCTTTGCACTCAGTGCCGGCACAGGAGAAGGCATCTTCTTAAGAGTTGAGCCAAAGCTGGTAGCTATCGAGCCTCCTACAGCTTCAGAGATTGGTAGGTGTAAATGCCAGACCGGCTTTAAGGGGAGCTCTGCTCTCTGCTTCTTGCTTTTCATGGTGTGTTTTGGTTTTTCTGTACTTTTACTACCAAGGTCTTCACCTGATAAAAAAGACATAATATGGTTGGACACACTGTGTGTACCCCAAAGCACTAGGATGGGTCTCTTAAAGAATGACAGACTTCCCTTGGTTCTTTGTGGAGGCAACCAGTTTCCCAGCTAGTTTTGTTTGGAGATAGTAAGTGCAAGTGCAGGTATATTTATTCCAGAAACCCAGAAGGCTAATAGCGTTTCATAGCTCATCTTCCCATGTCCATTTGACACATAGTTTTGTAGTATTTGAAATAACCTGGACTAACTGTGAAATGGCTAAACTTTGGTTCATTCCAGTCCAATTGAAAGGGATTCATATCCTGAGTGATAAAATGGAAATCTCATCTGTGTTTAGATACAAGACTGAGAAACTTAGAGAAGCTCAAACTAAACTGGAGCTCTTTCCATTCCTGTCACCCCTCCTCTCCTTGAAACAGAAGAGAAAATAGTGATATATTCCACCCCTGAAGACAAGAGCTTGGAATTTTTTCCACAGGACCCTGGGGCCAAAGGGCCATTACAACTTTCATCTGCCCTGCATGTGACACAGATGAGGGGACTTCACCTGGAAGTTCCAGCAAGGTGTCTAGCCAACTGTAGCTAAGTCAAACCGAATGCTGTAAAAAGCCACAGTTTCTTTCTTTTGGGAGAGTGAAGAGTCTCCTCAATCCAATGAGAAATGTGAACACTCTTAGCACACCTGCTTTGTGGAGTAAGGACCAATGATCTTGGCGTATGACTTGTTTTCAAGCAGCTAGAAAGGTACCTAGAAACAACATGACCCAAGCCTACTCTGACAGCTTTTGTCTGGAAACGTCCTGGTTTCGTTATTGAGGTGCTTTGAGTTCATGGTAACAAACATCACTGAGGAGTACCTGCACCTAAGTGCAGCATGAAGCTAACTCAGCCACGTGACTTGGAGAACAGATTACGCCATGCTTGGCCACCTTGGAGCAGGCAGAAGAAGGGACTGATGGTCTGTGAACTTCTATGTGGATGAGCCATGGGATAGCCTTGGGAGAATGTAGGGTTCCTAAGGTGAAAAACAAGAAGTTATAGCTGCCTCTTTTCTTTATGTTTTGTGGGATTGTATAGCAAGAAAGATATTCTAACAGTTTTGTTTTCTTCTTTTGTTTTTTTGGTTTTTTTTTTTTTTTTTTTCCTCCTCTCCAGTGGGAGAGTCATGGAGTGTGTGAGGTTGATACTCACCACTTTAATTCATTAAAAAAAAAAATTTAGAAGAAAAAAGCCAACAATGGCAAGTTTTAGTGCTTGGGCCTTGCTTCTCATTTCCTTCACTGACATCCAGTTCTTCTCCCAATTACAGTGATCTGCCACTCATTAAAAAGAAAGCAAGTATAATGCTATCTTACATTACATATGCCTTGAACATTTATAATTGGAAAGAATTACAGCTTCCATCTGTGTTTTTAATTTCTTCCATTTAAAATACCTCTCTTCAATCTTATCGTAAAGTGCACATATGCAGTATTTCATTGCATATGGATATAAGTGTAGATATCAAAACTTAAAAGCATCAGTCTTTACACAACACACATGGCTTTTTGTACTCTAAATCTGAGGCTCCTTATCTGACAACCAGCACGTTAGACAAGTGGCTTCAGCTTTGAGTTCTTGCTCTTCCTGGCTCTGCAAACTTAACGCTACAGGAAAGGAAGGCAAGGAAGCATCTCATACTTTGCTGCATCAAGTCTCTCTTGTCAAAATATCACAGGTCTCGGTAGTGCCAGGCCGGGAGTTCCCCATGACCTATCTCTATAAGTGTGGGATGCCTTTCTAAAGCTACTACCATGTTGCAGTGGATGGAAGGAGCTTGCTGTTAACATATGACTGCTGTTTGCCTGGTTTTGCTGCCGGCCAGACAAAATCTAGAAGATTAAACTCCTAGGCTTCTCTGGTGCTTTAAAGAATTACCAGGAAACGATGCTTTGAGGAAAAGGTATAAGGGATTCTGCCATCAATATATAACCACTTTACCATAGAAGTTTGCTTACGTCACACATGAAAAGCAGCATAAAAGCTCAGATGGGTTGTAACACAGCCCTGGTGATATAGTACATGTGTGTAAACACTGCAGTAATACAAATTCTTTGAGCAGCCTGTCCAGTCGTAGTCCTAAAACTCTGCAGCACTGATAACTGGAGCAAACAGCTGTAAGTTTCAAGAAAAATTTATTTTTTTTTTTTTTTAAATCTGTCTCTAAGCTGCATCAAAGAACAAAGTCCAGGTTAGAATTGCCATTAATGTCCATTTAATCCATTAATCCATTTAATCCATTAATGTCCTCTTTTCTGTTTCTCTTTGAAGTGTCCTTGACTCTTCTAGTCACTTGAAAAAGCAGAGGGGCACCTTGCCTGTTTGCGTTGGCATTGGGTGCTGCAGAAAGATCAAGTGCAGGTCTGACTTGTGCTGGGTATGATCCTGTGTGTGACTGAAGAGGCTCAGCGCTGGCTGGCACCAAGGAGAGCTGAGGTTGCTCAGCGCTTCCGCAGAACCAAGCCATCCATGACTTCCCTCACAACTCTGCTAAGTCTCAAACCCTGCCAAGTCCCCTTTCTAACCTAAGTTTCCTAGACACATGCTACAGGCTTTTTTGACAGCAGGGTGCTGTGGCAGCTATTTGAACTGTGAAAGCACCTGCTGTGTTAAGCTCATTTTCCATTCTTCACGCTTCTTCCTTCCTTCCTTATTTCATTCTTGGGCTGGGGATCTTTCTAAGGTTAAGATCACAGGCAAGACCTTGCCAGCTTAAATAAGTATGTCATTAAAAAATAAACCGAGAAACAAATGCAGTCCTCCTGTATCATGGACAAGAATTCAAATAATAGGCAGGAAGGATCTCTGGTGAAAGAGAGGAAGCCAGGCACAGCAAGCAGATCAAGTGAGAGACAGTACTCCCTTTGGTAGTCACCTATTAATAAAGAATCATTTGCATACAAAAATATCATTCCATACCTTGAATGTAACAGGATAATTGGTTTTGTAGGAGGACTGAGTGTGGCTCTCAGAGGGACCAGTCTGGAAGGGGTAAATTCGGTGTTGTTTGGATCACAGCCTTGCCCAATTTTGGAAGATCACCGGAATTCAACAAGAATTGAATGTAAAGTTCCCTCTCGGGTGAGAAACCACATTTTTGGGGAACATTCAGCAACCCACAGGCCTTTCCATGTTTTCCTGGCCTGAGCTACGTTGGGGGAAGGGCAAAAAATAGTCCATCAGCCAAGCCTTGGCTGTGGGACAATGTAATACGGACTCCACCTACAGTTTAGAGCAGCTTAATTAACAATGGATTGGAAGGTGATTTATGAAAACCAGTAAAACTGCAAAAAATCCAGATTGCACCATCATTAGCTACGCCTCACATAAGCAAAACTGGGGCTTTGAACTCCAGTACAATTGCGTGTCTCCACTTTCAGCTCAGTGTCTACTTGATTAAATATGCCTGGGCCAATTGTTTTTGCTCATATTATTGAACCCTCTTCAGCTCCAAATCTTCTGCTTTACATCCAGAGCTCCTCTGGACATCATCTGTGTGTCATGTAGAAATATGCCTAGGGACTGTTAGCAGCAGTGCTCTTTGCTGCATGGCAAAATTATACCCAGGACGATGCTAATGGTTTAAGCGTAGGGTTAACTGTCTATGCCTATGACTTACCACTGTTTAATTTACTAGTATGGAGATAGCATATGAAAACCTGTACAGTCCAGGATTGTTTTAAGGTTTATAACTCTCCGTAGAGGTTTCTTGAAAGACAATGTAACTAAAAACGTAAGTAGTGTCTGCTGTATATACAAATTTCATCCGTGCCCATGTGCCTGATTTATTAAGTATGGGAGATGCAGGAATATAGGGAATAACTTCTTTTATTGATGCATTCTTATCCCTGACAGTTTTTTTCTTTTTTTGTTTCTAGGGGACGGAAGATGCTGCTGTCCATGTGACACTAATTTCTGGGTACCAGTCAACAACAGTAACCAGCTTGTTCCAGTACGATCCTTCCTTAAACCCCGCTCTTGTGTCACTGAGCAGAAACAGAAGCGGCATAGCAGGTGAAAAGGCTGCAGACACATACTGGGCATCGTCTGTAGAAGTGTTGTTAGTGCTGATGGTGGTGGGGCAGAAGGAATTTATGTCTATAGAGTTCGGTGGTTGGTCTGACGCTGTTTTTTTGTTGTTTTCTTTCAACTTGTAACCCCTGTGTTTCCTGCTAGTCCTGATCAGTCCTGGTTGTTTTATGTTGGTTTTACTCTAGCATGTATGAGATCAGTTCCTTGCCTAGGCCAGTATGAATGATGTCCACAGGATGTCAGGCGTGGTACAGTGCTCCTTTTGTGTCACATTTCTCTTAACTCTGCTCTGAAATTATCCCACCCATTCATTCTCGGTAACAGGTTCAGCCACGACAAGAGAAATGAGCTCCAGAGCGTGTCCTTCTCCAGGATCCCAAAGGGTTGATCATAGAATGCATGATGTGCATTTTAGGTTACTGAAAGAAGGAGAGAGGCAACACTTGTCTTGTTACTTCCCATTTCCAAGGCAACCTCTTTCTTCCAGTTTGACCTTGTGATCCATTACTTTAGAATATGAGCATGGACTTCATGGACTTGGTTGCGGAAAAATCCCAAGCAGATCTCATGGAGCATTTATCATTCCTGTCTTTTGAAAGTTTCTATTTGGGTTTGGTTTTTTTTTTTTTCTCATTTCCTTTCTTTTTTTTTTTCCCCACAAAGTTTTGGCTGGGCATTTGGGAATAGAAGGCATCAATGGTGAATGGTGGCCACTTACAGACAAGTCTTCTGGGAAGAAGGTTTACCACATTTCTGTGTGGCAACCAGGCACCAGATTCCTAGTAGCTGAAAGAGAGAGGGAGGAAGATGGGGGAAAAAGATGGAAATATTCCTGCTTTCCTACCCACCCCCATTCCTCCAAGGCTGCAGTCATCTGATTTGTTTTTTCTTTCTCTCTTTTTGCACCCTCTCCAGTGCACACATTATCAAATCTCCCCCCAGCTCAGCAGTTTGGCTGGGCTTGGTAGGGATGCAAGGAGATAGGTGACTGCCAGTGACGAGATGCAATTCTTGCTGCATGCCCAGCATTTCTATTCCTTTCCCCAAATGCCCTTGTCTTTTTCTATTACTCCAGAATGCGTAAATAAGAGAAAGTGTCCTTTATCATGTGAATATTATTCAGATACCATAGCACCAAGGGGAGATTTTTTCTAGCCGCGGGCAGCCCAGGTGCAAGGAATTCCTTAATGTTATAGCATCTCGTGAACGGTAGCGTGGCTGAGTTCAATCTTCTATTCAGAACCTCCACGGCTTCGGCTTTTAATATAATTTTCCTCCTATATAATAAAAAGAATAAATAAATTACACCTATGCCTTCCAGGCATCTAGGATTAAGCTGACAATTGACCAAGAGTCCAAAGAGTTCACATTATTAATATATTCAACTTTGCAAGCTTTCAAACTTTATTTGACTCTTTGCGCCTGCAGAATTGAAAAGTACCGGCTTCAAGACCTGCTTAGAGGAGCTGGTAGACGAGGGGAGCTTTGTACAGACTTCTCCAAAGCTGAGGCTGCGGTGCTGAATGCTAACGGGGACTGTACCTGCCGTGGAGGCGATGCTAAAGCCAAGTGACCCTGGCCTCTGCCTGGGAGACAGAATTGCTACTTGGATTGGAATCTCTAGTAAGGATGGGTTAACCCATAAAAGTTCTTTCTTATTAAGACAAGGTGAGAGTGTAAAGCAGATGAGCTGCTCTCGACTACTGTCCCGTGTGGCTGGGATAACAGTGCCATGTGCAGCTTGGCCTTTAAAAGGGAGTGAGCTCAGTAAAAAAGAGGAATGGGCAAAAATGAAGCTGCTCTGGGACAGCTGATCTTCGCCAGCCGTTCTGGAGCAGCTCTGTGGGTAGACGAGTGTTTCGGGATGGCTGGCTCAAGGGCATGGTCAAGAGATATCAACATCTTTTGCTTGATGACTTTAGGAAAAGCATTTATGTTACGGTGGTCTACAACAGCAGGGCGTTGGACTTGAAGACCCCTTCTTGTCCTGCTTGTTCTTGCTTCTGTGCAATTGAACGCACACCCTTCAGAGGAGACAGGAGGATGAGATTCACCTCCTAAAACACATGCGCCTCTGTGCTTGTTGCTTAAATGTCTTGCAAAGTCACCAGAGAAAAATAGGCAATTCTGTGGTGGGATTCACCCCAGCTCTTTTGGATGTCTTCCTTACAATAAGATGAATCATGCCATGAAGGCTCTGTTTCCTCTTTGCCAGCTACAGACATAGCGCTCCCAGTGAAAACGCCTTTATTTGGACTGATGCATATCACCCTAATTTTTTAAGCTATTTCAGGGGGTATTTAGGTAATGAAATCCCCTTCCCTACTGCCCTTGTCCTTTCTATTACTGCTGTATGCACAAATAAAGGAAAGCATCTCCTATCATTTGAATATAATTTGGTTCACAACAGAACTTGAGTGGGAGAGAGCACCATGTTTCTTGAAAACAAGGTGCTTTGGAGCATGCACGGGCATCTGACTTTAGGTGACCAAGGAAATCATCATTTAGCTGTGGGAGGCTCCTGTTAGATAGCTCCATAGCGCTGAGAAGTGTGGTCTGGATCAGTGTTAGGGATTTAGGAAAAAATCCCAGAACTCCTCAGCTCCAGTGTATGTGAGCTTTAGAAAGACCAGATTTGGCTTTTATCAGCTGCAGATATTTATAGCACAGATGTTTATGGTAAGGGGGTATGGATCCTATCCTGAGTGTGCACCAGCAGGCTGAGAGTGGGTGTAGATGGTCATAGGTAGGTTCACAATGCTGATGATCTTAAAGGTCTTTTCCAACCAAAGTGATTCTATGATCCTATGTCTCAGGAGAACCCTGGTGGCTGGTGACCTTATGAGGGAGGCCAAGGGACTGAGTACGATACAGAACCACTGTGGCTTTCACATTTTTGTTTTGGGCTTATGGACATGACTGGACCTGTTCTGGCATGATGGGACTCCGTGCTCTTCCTCAGGCAATGGTTACACATGTTAAAATAGCTGTTTCCAGAAACACTGGAATAATTTCATCCCTTCTCCTCTCTTGCAGGGGGTCAGGAGCTTCAGATTGGAATATCCCAGTTTGCCAGCTACCGAGGGTCAGATATCAAGGTGCAAATCGGGAGCTCATGGGCAGAGATCCAGGCGCAGATGGACCGTGGTGTTAATGTGACGCTTCCAGCGTTGGCGGCGGGATGGTACAATGTTTCTGTCATCATCAATGGCATTGCCGTTGCTTCAGATGGGTGTGTGAATGCCTGTACTTTCCTTTAGATATAAATTTCATTCTCTGTCCCATTTGGTATGTTAGGGTTAATCTGAAAAGAAAGGGAAGAGTTTTCACAAATTCTGTACCTAACGGTGAAACCTGCAGTGTGGTATAAAATTATGAATAATTATCAAGGCATTTATTGATCTGTGGAACCCACGTCAGCAACCTGCTAATGCTAGTTGATTAACTCCCCTTGGATCAGTAGGAGGCAGGAGAGAAACATTTTAGAAAAAACAGCTGATTTGATGAAAAATGCATATTCAGGCAATCAAAGGTATTCACAGATTCAGGTCAAATGCAGATAAACCCTGCTGTAGGAAAACAGCCTAAGAAAAGAAACACCTTTCATGAGAAAAACAAAAGCTAGTTTGGAAAAAAAAACCAAAAACCCTGCTTTGTTTGGAGAATTTTTAAATGATGCTATTTCCATCTTTTAAGGTGACACTTCAAGTTCATGCCTAGGTAAATGGAGTATAAATGAATTAAAATGTGGGGGAAAACTGACCTAAAGGTGGGCTGCAACAGTGCAGTCACAAGCAGCACAGATTTGCTCCTCAGTCACGCAGCTCTCATCCATGGCAGCTCCTAGGAATGATCCTGAAAAAATGATAATGGGGAGAAGGGAGCTGCTTGTATTGCTCACAAACCACCCTAAGCTGCTTGATGCATTAATGAACTTTAGAAGGAGAAAGCCCATGGTTGGTGGGATGACACACAGGGATTCATCCCATCTGATACTGGAGTCTGTGAGCAGCACCATCACTTTGTCTCCAGGGACAGAGAGGGGAGGGAGATGGGTCATCCCAGGAGACAACTCTGAGCTCCAGTGGGCTGGATTGCAGGCTTGGGAAGGTCTACTTCTCCAGTGTGCCTTTTTAGGGCAGGGCGTGGTTTTGAAAATAGGGTGATGAGGAGGAAAAAAAGATGTAGTGGTGGGATGGCAGTGCTAGGTTAATGGTTGGATGTGATGATCTTAAAGGTCTTTTCCAACCTAGATGATTCTATGATTCTATGTAAGTGGGACAGAAGCAGAGTGAGGCCTTTATCTGAGTGGGCTTTGGGATGTTATGTCTAGGTTTCCTCTTGCTGCAGTTACCTCTGCGGTCTGGTGGGACGATGTCAGGAGGGAAGGCAGCTTGGACGTCTCTTCAATGCACTTGCATCTCCTGTCTGTGGGCATAGCTACAGTGGGATCTGTTTGGCAAAGCCCTCGACTCCCACCTTCTTGCTTCTTTTGGCGGGCAATTCAGTTGAACCTTATGGACTAAATTTAGTCCACAGGCTGCCACGTGATAAGACAGTGTTTGTAATAGATGTAGCTCAAATCATATGGAAAAATTTGTGGGGTGGGGTGGTCTTGTCAACTGTGGCATTGAACAAAGGGGATGTGCCAGGTGGGCGTTTGGCCTTTGAACATAGAAAGAGTTGTAAGAAAGAATAGCACTGTAGCAGGAAAGAAAAATATATGTAAAAAATCAAATCCCCAAACCCCCTTTCGATGTTGCTTGTGTTTTGCAGGGTTGAGCCGTTAATCCAGTACCTCTCAGAGATCTTCAGCATAGAGCCGTGTTGTGGCTCCTTTCTGGGTAAATAGCGTCGGTACATCTGTAGCCACTTACGGAGGTTAAAGAGATCAAGGGCACAGTTTTCCTGCAGGAATGGAAAGGGCATCCCATTTCACATGGGTTTAAATGAGGGTGTTTTAAATCTGTGACCCTTTATTATGCAGACACCAACCGGCAGACAGCAGCAGCCTGGAAATGTGGGACTGCGGTGAGCATCCCTCAGTCTGGTTGGCTGGCTCAGGGCTCCCCGTGCTTTGAATTTGATTTCCCCAAGTGTTTGCTCATGTATCCTTGCATGTTGCCGTTGGGAAAACAAAGCATGCCCACACCTGACTCATCCGTGCTGTTTCTTTCAGTCATCAGCCTCCGCCGTTTAAGGCTTTCTATGTGAAAGATAGGTGGAAAGCGGGGTGCAATTGTGGTTTGAAGCAAACAATAATTTCAAGTGATCCCAAAGGTGGTGTTCATTTTTGTTAAGTTGAAAAGACAACACCCCTCCCCCCCTTTTTTCAATGTTAACTTTAATCAAAAGTGAAATATTTATTAATCGCATTCCGAGCTTTTAAACATTGGAAATAACTTAAGTGTGTTTCAGAGCAAAACATCACTGAATTAAAAAGAAAAGTTTTGCTTTACATCTTAAAAAGCAGATTGGCGTGTTTGATTTATTTTGTCATTTGGCTGGGAGTGGGGGAGAGTTGAATCCCTGTAGTGAATTTGCTCTCCCAGGCTCACAACACATTTAAAGATACAAAAACTCAGAGGCTTTCTGGTACATGATGAGTTCAATAGTTTGTGAAGTGCTCAAGCTTTAAAAGATGAGAGAGTGGATAGAGCTTGGAGAGCAAAGGCTATCAGTTTTGAAGATTAAACTACACTAAAAAAAATAAAATTATTGCACCCTTCTTTTCCTATTTAAGGATAAACTGAAGTTGAAATAAGAACTGATTAACTCTTCAGCTGTAATTTTATGAATGGCTTAAACTGACTTAAAATCTCATCTCTGCTAAAAACACCAGTTCTTCCCTGGCCTTATCTCTAGTCTTTTGTTGTTTCTAACACTTGTTTAGCCATTGGGATTAAGGATTTGAGCTCACTCAAAAGGAACCCCATGATAAAACAACCTGGTTTTCAGCCAGATCATGGGAAAAGGAAGGGTATGAGCTTAATAGATAAAGAGGGTAAAGCAAGGCAGGGCACTGGGTGTGCCAGTACTGCAAACTAAAGGAAGATGGAAAGAGGTTTCAGATGGCTTTAAGGGAGACAGCTCTGGTCTTGGAAACACGGGATTAGGCTTGGAATGCTGGAGGGTTTGCATTTTTGTCTTTATCACATCCTAAAATCCAGACAGTTCCAGTTCTTCAGTGCTACTCTTCAGCACCCTAGGAGGCAATGCCGACACTGCTGCTCTGCAATGTTATGTAAATCAAGATATCTGGCTTCATGCTCATTCCAGATAATTAGCACCTACTCTCAGTGGTAAGAGTGGCAGCAGACCTCCCAAGTATCATTTTCCTGTAAATGTGGAGAGGAAGACTCCACTGCTATGTTGTAGGACAACTGTGCTGGATGAGACCAAGGACAGCCTGTCTCCCAGAGTGACCCAAATACAGGATGATTTAGGAAGATTATATGAGTGGGGCAGTGTGTGATGAATCTTCTCTACAACAGCCTTCCAGCTCCCGACACTAGACACAAGGACAGCCTCAGCTGGAGGTCATAACTTGGTGTCTAACTCTTCTGAATTGCTTTTCCATATGAATGACCCTACCAGTTCACACCAAGAGTTTGTTTACCCATTTGGTGTCATCTTCTGTGGTCTTAAGTAGGTGTCTAGGGAATAAAAACATCCAGGCAACCGCAGGGGAAAGCACACAGCCTGCCTTCCTCCAGCTTATGCATGGGAATCCCTGGTCGGAGTTGCCTTTGACAGTGGAGGGGGAGCTGCCCTTCTCTTCCTCTTCCTATTCTACTCATCTTAAATGGTGTAGACTGGGAGCATATAAGTAGGGGAGGGCTTGAAGCTGGAAGCATTCACTGATGTTATCAGCTTTTCTGGTCAGTGAGCTCCTCAAGGGCAAGTGACCATCAGTGCATGGCAAATCTGGCACTCCGCCTGAGTGGCCAGGCAGAACTGAGGATTGAAGGAAGGTCTGTGATTCTGGCTTTTAGTTAGAAAGTATTCATACTGCATCCTGCTTCCCTGTATGCAGCAGGACCAAACCATCTCTACCATCTCCCCACCTGCCTGCACAGACAGTCCCATTCCCTGAAGAGTTCAGTCTTTGTTTACCCTTGGGGGTCCTCTCACAACAGCTTCTTCCAGTTCTATGGTGGCTTTCTACTGTCACTTGCTGCCATGATGGTCCCTGGCTATCTGATACCTTAGCCTCTTGTCCACATAGGATTATCCTGTTATATGACAGGTGTCGTTTTCCAAAAAAGGACTTAAATTCTTCCATTTGACCTGGCTGAGACTGTCTGCTGTGTTTATCAACTTTATGATTGTTCACTGACGGTCATTGATTCCTTTTCTGCGCATAATGTCCTCCCCCCTTGTTTTGTTTTACTCCTAGGTGGAACACTGCTCACAATCTCTGGGGTGGGCTTTAGTCAAAATCCTGCCCTAGTCTCTGTTTCGATGAACAGGCAAACCTGTATGGTTACTCATTTGGCAGAAGAGACAGTTTGGTGCCTGACCCCGCCAGCTGCTAATTCGTCTAATGAAGATTCACAAAACATCTCTGTCAGAGTAAACGTAGTCATCACCAGTAGCTCACTTCAACATATCCTTTCTGCAAAAAGGACCGCCACCTTTGATTACCAAAGAGCTTTGACTCCTCTGATTACTGCCGTTGAAATGGAAATCACAGCTAGCAGCCTGCTCTTGGGTGTTCAGGGAATAAACATCACTGGATCTGTGGCTAAGCTTGGACACAGTGAATGTGAACTTGAGTTTCCACACGGCAACACGTCTGCAAAGTTTTATCAGTGTTCTTTGCCAATGAACAGCCTGGAACCTGGGACTTTCCCCATCCAAGTTATCCAGAGGCAGCTAGGATATGCTCATGTGACAGCAAGGCTAAAGGCCCTTACAATAACTCCACGGATAACCTCCATATTCCCGTCACAAGGATCAATCTGTGGTGGAATGTTACTCACTATATCTGGTATGGCTTTAAAATCCAGGAGGAATTTGGTACAGGTCAGCCTGGAGAGCAATTATTCCTGTGAGATCCAGAACTCTGATAACAACGTCATTAGTTGTATTGTCCTTCCAGGGGCCCATCCTTTACGTTACCAGTGGTTGGCTGAGACGTCTTGGGCTCTTAATGTCACAGTGACTGTCAATGGGATCAGCAGTGTCTGCCTTGGGGACTGTACACTCCACCTTCATGAGCAGTGGACGCCCCTTATAGATTTGGTGACTTGGGAGACCAACGGGACATTAACCTATGTGATGATCAAAGGACAGAGGTTGGCATGGCCAGGTGACAGCCCTGTGGTACATGTGAATAACCAGGCTGTCTGCAAGGTAGCTTTTTGGAATGAGACCAGCATCAAGTGCCAGACAGACTGTATTGCCCCAGGGGAGTACGATATTTCCGTATCATACAGGAAAAGTGGGCAAGCTTGCTTCAGAAAGGCATCCAGCGTCCTCATCATCCCGCCTCGGGTGCACCAGTTTTACCCACAAAACTTCAGTACCAATGGTGGAGGCCTGCTTACCTTAACAGGCTTGGCCCTGAAAGGAAAGAGAATGACTTCGGTTCTCATTGATTATCACCCTTGCTTTCTTCTCAGTGTCACCTGTGTAGCTATCCAGTGCATGGTGCCTCCGGGTAACGGGACAAGGGCTTTGAGTCTAAAAGTAGATGGCATATTCCGTTACCTTGGAAGAATAAGTTACGACAAGGAGTTTACCCCAGCTTTCCTTTCGCTTGTTGCAACTGGTCTCCTTTTAACGATGACCATATCACAGGTCACAGAGATGGACACCATCTATGTGTTTGTTGGAGACTTTGCTTGTAGTGGTGTCACCATCACTCGCTCTACTTTGCAGTGCTCAGCTCCTCTGCTCCCTGCTGGCCGGTATCACGTGCTGGGCCTGGGTGTCCCCAGGGGTTGGGCTTCCTCCAACCTGACATTCACCTCTCCGCTGATGGTGACGGCTGTGCATCGTAACTGGGGTAAGCCGTGAAGACTTATTGTAGCTCCTCTATGGGGTGCAGTGTGAGGGACTGCAGTGACTGGGGTGTGGTTTTTTGCATGAAAGCAAAAATTATGAACTAAAAAAAAAAAATACCCTTGTTGACAGCTGGCTGTCAGGCTCTGTCTTAAATCCCATTTTCTGTCCTTTTCCAAGGTGGCTTGCACGGAGGAGCAGTTTACCTGCATGGAACTGGGTTTTCCCCAGGGAAGACTTTGGTCACGGTCTGTGGCACCCCCTGTGAAATGTTGGACAACGCGACGATGACTGACCTGAGCTGCCTTGCCCCACGCTTACATGGTCAGCTAAGACACAAAACCTGGCATCGTGTTAAAAACGGCCCCTAAAACCTGGCCTGAAAGTGGGGGGATCCCAGTGTATCTCATCCCAGGGGAATAGAGAGCAACAGCAGCCCTGGAGAAAGGCTAAGACAGCACTGACCTCTGTTTTTCAAGCTCGGTTGAAAGTGGTAGGGGGAATTTTTGCATCAATGGCCGTGGGCTTTGGACTTGATCCACTGCATGCCTGTAGCCAGAGCTGTCACACATGCTTTGCGGGTGTGTATGAGATGTGCACAGCAACAAGAGTTCCCTGTGGCAAGTATTCCTTGGGAAAACTGTGTCACACAAAATGTCCATGAAGGCCGTAGGGTTGGGAATCCAAGCACCTCCTGGCCATCACGACTGGTCTAGTAAATTGAGCTTCCTTTTTTTTCTGTGGACCCATACACTTTGTGTTTTGGCTGCATGGTGGGACAGCTTCAGTGGGAGGAGAAGGGAGAATGAGTGTGAAGGTGAATGAATGACATTGGCCAGTTCATACCTTTGGGAAGCTGCAGATGAGGATTTGAATTCCTTGAGAGGAAGATGAGATCATCTCACAGCCAGAGCATCCTCCTTAACTGGAGAGAGGCAGCACAGCAGGGAGTGGTGCCATGATCTCCAGCACTCAGAGAGAAATAACCCTGCCCCAGTTTTGGAGGAAACTCTTACAAGTTGGCATTTGCAGGGACAAGACATATTTCCTCCCTTCCCTACTGGCAGCACAGAATTAGGCTCCTAAGATCTACAAAAATTGGGATTAAAGACCTTTAAATCTCACCCTGAATCTCACACTAATCACAGAGGACCTCCTGATCTAGTTAGTGGAGTCCCTGCTTACTGCAGGGGGGTTGGACTAGATGACCTCTAGGGGTCCCTTCCAATCCAAAACATTCTATGATTCTATACCTCGGTGCTGCAGCATTGCAATGCTTGGAGCATAACACTTCAGCGCCTTCACAGCTCTGATGCTAGGAGATCTACAGAAATATTTGCCATTCTGTGGCCATCCAAAGATCCATGGCCTCTTCTCCTTTGTGGACCTGGGAGAAAGGTGGCAGGGAGATTGTCCAGCAGGGTAAATTGCCAGGGTTTTGCTTAAAGGTGTGTGGAATCTCCATCCTCCCAAATAGTCAGAAGTTGACGAGATTAGTTGCTGAGAAACCAGTCCAATGTGAAATGTAACATTCCTTTGAGCAAGGGTTGAGGGGAGAGGCTGGATGGGTCCCCTCCAGTCTCAGTTATTCCAAAATTTTAAATTTCCTTTTGTCATTTTTAATGGTTCCTTTCCTCATCCATGAAGAATACTAAGAAAAATAGAGGGTGTGGGAGAAAGGGCTTTAAAACACAACCCCAAGTGCTCAAAAGGAGACACCGGGAGGTTGCAAGGGCTCAGATTTCTTTGTTTTAAATGGGATTCAGGCACAGTCCACAAAACTGCTTATTATTATTTTTGAAACAAGAAAAAAGACATGATGCTGCAGTGCTGATAAAAAAAAAAAATTAATCAGGGGTGTCTGGTTATTGCAGAAAGAATAGCAGAATAAAATGTAATCAAACTGATCCAAACTGTGAAAACATTAATAACTGTGTTCCCAATTCACTGAGTGGTAGGCGGCAGAGGGAGCCTGGGGAAAACCATCTCACAGACAGGACCACGATGCTTATTATTGACACTAGATGTCAGCAAGTGAATGCTGATTGCTGCCCGCTTGCTGGTTGCCTTTTTGGAGAGAAGATGCAAAGGATGCGCTGCCTCCCTACCCAAGGGGACACAGGCACCATTGCTTTGAGGCCAGTTGCAAGACAACCCCCCTCTCCCCTGTTGTGGTTTTTGCGGTGTGCCGCCTCGCAAATCTCACCAGTTGAGCTGCAAAAATGTTTCTCTGTCACCTAAGTATTTGAAAGAAAATGCGGGGTGATTTTTTTTTTATTAAAAAAAAAAAAAAATCCTTTGCAGGCTGTTTAAATCTGTGTTTGCCAGGTTATTTGTGCTCCCCGAGACAGCCATATCCCGCCTGTGCACATCTACGTGTGGCATTGGTGAATCTGTATATAGAGCAAGATGCTTTCCAGATGGCTTTCCCCTAATATTTAAGGGACTGCACCCCCCCAGCATTTAGGGCATGAGTAGATTTATTAAGTGCTGTTAGCCCTGTGTCACCTCGTGGTTTACGTGCTGCTGTGTGCCCAGGGAAGTTTGCCACTTGGCACTTGCACATCCAGTGCTCAGACTTTTCTTTCACAGCCTCGTCCACGTGGGAGAGGTGGCGAGAAGCGCCTTCGGGGATGCGGGACCATGAGCCGTGAAGGAAATGGGAGGGATAGGTCTGTGGTGCCCCAAGGCCCTTTCAGCGCAGAGGCTGGCGCGGCCAGGTCGGACGCTTGTCTGACATTTCCTGGCATTGCTTGTGGACAAGGTGATGAGAAGTGAAGAGTTCAAGCTGCATTTCTTCTGTTACAGCATGCTGCGAAGCAGAAACACCTCCCCTCCGGTGCTGCGGGATGTCGGGTGGCAGCTTGCCACCGGGGGTTTCAGCCCTGGGTCATGTTGTGTCTGGCCTGCTTAAGATTAGAGATGTTCACGTGGGAATCCCCAACCGGTCCCATCTAGCTTACTCATGTGATCAAATCCATAGGGCAAAGCTCTGCAGGTAGGAAATGTGTTCCCATTTAACAGGCAGTTTTCTAAGACATGAGGAGCCACCGGCCTCAGCAGGACCCATCCATAAGCCTGCCCCATGGGGTCTTCCTTAGGAATGGGTGTTGAGTGGGGTTGCAGCAAGGTTTTGGATTGATCACTAACAGGAGCTGGGCACACTAAGTACTGGAACATGCTCAGTCCAGAGCACAAGGAGCAGGAACGCAAGCCTAGACTTTTTTATGAAATCTGTTGTCTTCTGCAAGCTGCAGAAAAATCAAATCAGAGCAGAGCTAAAATTTGAGTTTCACCCTTAAAGCTTAAGAAAATTAGCAAAGTTAAATAAAATTGAATAAAATTAACAAATCCAAACCCTCTTCAAGGAAAAACAAAACAAAAAACCCCAAACCAACTCACAAGTCTCTAAGGGTCTGGCGAAGAGATAACTGTCTGGATCCCGAGAGCTCTCCCCTTCTCTTGTTCTTGCTTTGTTAGTTGTGTCGCCGAGCTGTTGATGAGTGCAAATACAGCTGTGGATTCTGTTCAGCTCAGGTTAAATTTGCAGAACACATGGTTAATGTCTGTGGGATTGAATTGTGCTCCTGTGAAAGATGGGAAGACTGGCAGGAAGCCTGAGGCAGGTGAGAAAATAACTGAATATTCCTATTAGGTGATATTAAGATAGGTGCCATATATAAATTCTGCAGTAAGCCCGTACCCGACGTTGTATGTTTGACATTGGGGTGAGGGTAAAGAAGGCACCTTTAAAAGGAGGTGAACTGATAAGATCCATCAGGGAAAAAGCTGAGTCTGATTTGCCTGGTTGCATCAGCATGCTTGGAATAACAGGCCTGGCTTTAGGGCTTTGAGGTAATGGCTCTTGGGATCTTTGTTAGCAAGTCCTGGGCCAGATTACATTGGTAAAAGTGGATGTTTAGGGAAGAGGATTTCGATTAAAGGCTAGAAATGAGATGAGGCTGGCTTAAAAGGGAGAGAGACATGGCTTGGTGGAGCTCTTTGTATGGGGCAAAAGGAGAGAGAGGAGTGAGTTTTGGCTGCAGCAGTGCAGATGTACCAAGGAGATGCACTGAGCTAGGACCAAGGGTGACTATAGCCAGGGGAATGGAGTGATTTGTACGAGTAAACACAGAAGATATGAAGAGGTCATGTTGTGGCACTTTAAACCTGAGTAGAAGTGAGGGCCTCTGAGGTTTATTGTGGAGATCAAACCAAAGGATCCAAATGGTCCCTTCTGTCCTTCAAATCCAGAAGTGAAATTGCAGGAGT